TTTATATCAAAAGCTCCTGCGAACTATGTTATATTACAGAAATATGTCACCTACCAATATCTTGGATGATGTGAACCTTACTGCCGTACAGTCATTAAAGCGAACACCTGTCACAGCGCGGAGAGTATCAGGTAAATGGGCTGAAGTGCTAAGAGATCTCTCTCTGCATGACGTTGCGATAATTCAATTCACATGTTCTGATAGGCAAAATATGGAAAAACCCCAAGCTTGCGACTCGGCGCTCTCAAATGTCAAAGTCCCTTCGTAAGACCTGGGATCAGCGTGTTCAAGAGCGTAAAGAACGTGAAGCTCTCAAACTAATAGAGAAAGAGATCAAAGACAGAGAAGAAGCAAAGAAGCAACAAAGGAAAGAGGCCATTTTGAAGAAGAAAAAGGCACAGGAAGAGAGGGAACGTCTTGAACATCTAGCCGCTGTGTATTCAGCCAAGAAGATGAAACGATTAAAGAAAAGACTTGGCAGGAGAAAATGACAAAAAACTATCGTTTCATCTACAATCTGTTTTATTTAAAAAGGTTGATCCATTGGAATGTACGTTTAATTGGAATGTACGCCTAATTCGAACGTAGTTTATAATAGAATTAATGACCAAATTCACTGTCAAGATAGTGGTAAGCTGTTGTAACCTAGCAGAGTTGTTTTAGCAGAACTCTCTGGCAGGCGCGATCCATTGACAGACAAACTTCCAATAATGAATTTCCGAACAATGTATTTCATTCCATAAGTTATATCACGTCACTCTCTTTTCATTTTCCGATGCAAAAACGCTCAAATATAGCACCAAGAACTTCCTCTACATTCACTTGTCCAGTAATTTTTCCAATAGCGTTTGCAGCGTAACGCAATTCTTCAGCGCGTAATACAACATCGTCTTGCTCTGGATGAACATACTCGTTGTATCAATAATATTGATATGCCATGACAATGTCGTTTCCTTACCTGAGAACCGCTCTAATGCTCCAAGACACTCTTGTAGATGCTCTCTATGTCTCGACTGTGTGATCAGGGGTGTTTCTGGAGATACCGTGTCGAATCTAGCATGTAATTGGATAGACAACGTGAGCCAATATTGACCCTGCTTATTACGAATAATGACTTGGTTACACACTTTTCTTTGATGACATTGACGAATGCGTCTAGGAAATCGCTAATTCCTTCTCCTGTTTTGCAGGAAATGTTACAAACTAGTTTGGTGTTGAACTTTACGTCTTTTGTAATTGAGCAAATATCTAAGACGAGATCTTTCTTGTTGAGGAGCAAAATGGTGTCTGAATCGATATACGAGGAAATAACTGGATCTAGTGTTATCGACTGGAGGTCAGTAGCGGATAGCACGCATATTTTAATGTCGGCTGACTGTAATCTATAAAAGGACGCGTATCAATCAATATCAATTATTCCGAGGATCGTGGATGATACAATCCACAAGATGATTCTTTGTACCTCTTCTTGGCTCTTTCT